TGCTGTCCCCCGGAGAAGCAATAAACTCCCTCTGTTCTACTGGCCGGCGGAGTCGGTCCGTGCCATTACGGGGGTGCAGGAGGCGGGGGACCCCGACACGCCACAACAGAAATGCATTAAATCCGGGCCCATGGATTTATGTACATTTAGCTTTTCAACATAGTTCCTAACCTGTTCTTTCCCCACCGAGGGCTGCCCACCTCCTTCCCATACTGTGTTGCCTAGCGCGTTAGTCTGTGAGCCGACCTTGTCTGTGAAGACAGAGGCAAAGGAAGCATTGAGTGCTTCAGCTTTTCCCAAATCATCTATCACTGGGTTACAGCCCTCGTGGGATCCCCTGCAGGCTGCTCTCAGATCCCCCCTGTGACGGTGCGTTGGGGGTTCCCCGTCCCCCCTGATCTCCCTCTTACTGCTAACATGCCTGGAGAAACCTTTCTTGTTCCCCTTCACATCCCTCGCCAGCTGCAATTCCACTGGCGCTTTCGCCCTCCTGAGAACTCCCTGCATTCTCGAGCAGTATATTGATACTCCTCCCTGGTCATCTGGCCACGTTTCCACTTCTGATGTACTGTGGTACCTTGCTGGCTGCTATGCTGGGCTGTGGGTGACCCCTGCTGGCGGCTGTTGGTAGCACGGCCCAGCAGGACAGGGGATGAGTCATTATGCAAGGGGCTCCCAACCTGTCGGACCAGTTGCCTCCCAGGGAGAGAAACAAAGGAAGGAGGGGAGGCCAGCCCCTGGCTGGGGGCAGGGCTGGAAGGGACGTTTTTAGTTTCTGTCTGGAATCATGGGGGAAGCAGCCTAAGCAAGGGGCTGGGATTTAGGGCCCCGTCTCCCCCATCTCAAGGGGGGCTGAGGCATCCTAGGCCTGCCCTGTAACCGGATTACATCTGTGCTGGGCTGTATCCTGGAGAAGCCACCCCACAACAGAAATGCATTAAATCCGGGCCCATGGATTTATGTACATTTAGCTTTTCTACATAGTTCCTAACCTGTTCTTTCCCCACCGAAGGCTGCCCACCTCCTTCCCATACTGCGTTGCCTAGCGCATTAGTCTGTGAGTTGACCTTGTCCGTGAATACAGAAGCAAAGGAAGCATTGAGTGCTTCAGCTTTCCCCACATCATCGGTCACTGGGTTACCGCCCTCATCCAGAAAGGGCCCCACCCCCTCTCTGATCACCCTCTTACTGCTAACATGCCTGGAGAAACCTTTCTTGTTCCCCTTCACATCCCTCGCCAGCTGCAATTCCACTGGCGCTTTCGCCCTCCTGAGAACTCCCTGCATTCTCGAGGAATATATTTATACTCCTCCCTGGTCATCTGGCCACGTTTCCACTTCTTACAAGCTTCCTGTTTGTGTTTAAGCTCCCCAAGGATTTCCCCAGTGAGCCAATCTGGTCTCTTGACTTATTTGCTTTTCTTATTGTGCATCAGGATGGTTTCTTTCTGTGCCTTCAATAAGGCTTCTTTAAAATCCTGCCAGCTGTCCTGGACTCCTTTCCCCTTCATGTTAGCATCCCAGGGGATCCTGCCCATCAGTTCTCTGAGGGAGTCGAAATCTGCTTGTCTGAAGTCCAGGGGTGTATTTTGCTGCTTCCCTTTCTTCCTTTGGTCAGGATCCGGAAATCGACCATCTCATGATCACTGCTTCCCAGGTTGTCACCCACCTCCACTTCCCCAACTAGTTCCTCCCTGTTTGTGAGCAGAAGGTCAGGCTGCACACGGCCCCTGGTCGGATCCTGCAGCACTCGTACCAAGAAGTTCTCCCCAACATTCTCCAAAAAACCCTGGATTGCCTGTGTCCTGCCGAATTGGGCTCCTAATAGATGTCAGGGGGATTCAAGGCCCCCATGAGAACCAGGGCCTGCGATCTGGAAACTTCTCTCTGTTGTCTGAAGAAAACCTCGTCTGCCCCGTCCACCTGATCTGTCTAGAGCAGACACCGACCACGACATCACCCCTGTTGCTCCCACCTCTAAGCTTAACCCATAGACTCTCAACAGGCTTTTCTCCCTCTATATTCTGGAGCTCTGAGCAATCGTAGTGCTCTCTTACATACAATGCAACTCCTCCTCCTTTTCTCCCCCGCCTGTTCTTCCTGAGCAGTCTATACCCTTCCATGACAGCGCTCCAGTCATGCGAGTCGTCCCACCACGGCTCCGTTATCCCAATCAAATCCTAGTTCTTGGACTGGGCCAGGGCTTCTAATTCTCCCTGTTTGTTTCCCAGGCTCCTGCGTTCGTGTACAGACACCTTAGAGAACTAGCCGGTTGCCCAACCTTCCCTGTATGAGTCAGGGTCCTCCTCTGTTGCTCCTTCCTCCTTGTTCCTTCCAGGTATCCCACTTCCCCCACCACTCAGGTCACCGTCCACGACAAACCTAGTTTAAAGCCCATATCAATCAGCTCGCCTAAGGACCCGTTGGGGCCCACTCTGGCAAGCAGCTTCCTCGCAGCGCTTTCTGTCCTGCCCCGTGGCGGGGGGGAGGTGTCTGCAAGGCAGGGGCCGTATTGGGCCACTTCCTGGTTTTCCGGCCGTGAGCCTGGCCGGCCCCTCGGTGGTGAGAGATTTGGCATCGTTCCCCTCTTCCCGTCGTGCCGCACTGGGGAAAATGTAACACTCACCTTCTGCTAATTCACAGATGGGGTGATGTAGGCAGAGAGGGGGGAAAGTGACTTTCCTGTGGGCACCCGGGAAGTCTGAGTGAGCGGGGAAATACTCGCTGTGTTCCTGAGGTCTGCTCCGGTCCCCCATCCCCTAGACAATCCCTGACCGTTAGCCTGTATGGGCATCCCCTGCCTTGGGAGCCCAGGTCTGGCGGGTGTTGGATTCTCTGCTGGGACACTATCAGACCTGCCTTCTGCTTCGACACGCCTTGCTAGTGTGGGACTCAAGGCCTAGGGAACGAAGGAGCAGATGAGAAACGGTTATTGTCCCACCTGCTGGGAAAGGCTAAGACCACAGGGCCGGGTTTTGCAGCGTCAGCTGTGCGGATCTACTAGAGAGAGAGTTCGTGCGTCCGTCTGTCCATCCGTCTGTGAGTCCGTCTGTGAGTCCGTCAGAACTTAAAGCGAGGGCCGGGTTGCTCGTGCCACGACCGTGGGATGTGCCTGGAATGGGATTGTTTCCCACGCAATGGAAAGGGAAGGGGCTGGCAGGAGAGACAGTCAGGCGGCGTCTACGCTGCATGCGGAGCTTTGCACTGTGAGCTCGCAATTTGAGCTACGCAAATTGTGTATCCTATTTCAATGCTATTTTGAAATAGCTTATTTCGTCACTTGGTGCTGAAAACACAGTGCCAAATTTCAAAATAAAGCACTATTCCCAAATGTCCCTTACTACTCGTAGAATGAGGTTTCCTGGGACGTCGGAGTAGTGAGCCCGAAATAACGGGCTTGCTGTGAAGATGTGGGATAGCTACTTCGGGATTCTCCGGTATCCCGAAATAGCGTTGCAGTGTAGACGTAGCCTAATGCCACAGAATGACCACAGGGGAGGAGCGAGGGGCCAGAGATGGGGACGGGAATAGCTATAACCCCACGAGGGCGGCAGGGGTGGAGAAAGGGACAGCTCTCTACTAGGTGTTTGAGGTTTGTCTGTCTGTCCCCCAGCCGTGTCTGCTGCAGCAGCTGTGGAGCGGTACTTCTCCTCTGGCCCCACGCTGCTGGTTGGTCCCTCTCCCCTGGGCAGCCTGCAGACTGACCCCCGGTACCCCAGCCCCACCCCAGAGCAACGACTGAAATGACACATCCAAACGTCATTTCAGCTACGGCCAGAGCAACGGGGTAAATCTGGGGCAGGCAGACAGGCGGGAGAGAGAATGGGTCAGTGAGTCCATCGGCTCCGCCCACAGG